CTCCCCCGCTGCTCACTGAAAGCTAAGGAATTGTAAAGGGAGCTGCAAATCTGGCGATCCAAAGCCAGTTCAGAAGCTCCTCTCTAATACAGCAGGAAATACCCTGTCATTCCTGCCCACGGTACAGGTGCTAATGAGGACACTTGAGAAGGCATGCTCATTTGACCTCTGCACCACAGGTGCTCTTCTAGACAGAGTGACAGTGGCTTCTGCCATCAAAGGCAGCCACACGTTTCCAAACGTCCTAATTGGGCATTTTGTACCCAGCTGGGCACTGGCCAGTTCACAAGATGATACATCAGTATTCACCACTCCTCCAAAGCTGGAGAGCATCCGTCCATCCGTCCGTCCATCCATCCATCCATCCATCCATCCATCCATCCATCCATCCATCCTACCTACCTTCCTTCTTTCCACCCAACCTTCCATCCATCCATCCATCCATCCATCCATCCATCCATCCATCCATCCATCCATCCACCTTGACAGAAGATGCCCACACCAACAAACACTCATGGACAGCTCCAGGCTGGAACCAGCAGCAGAAAGGATCGAGGTTCTGACTTAATTCATCCACCACACTCCTCACACCCCCTCTCAGAATTAAATCTGGTATTTAAAATCCTCAGGCCAGCAGAGGTGTGACGGCATTGCTCCATTTACACGGCATTCTGCAATGCCCGTGCTGCGATAGATGGGAAGAGGCATTTCTCACTGCTGCTTTTCTGAGGTTTTCTTTTAACTGGGTGGTTCCAAACTAATCTATTGCACTGGAGGTCTGACACGTTGAACCGGTGAAGGAGCAGAGCAGGGAAAGTCCGTAGTGAGGGCGTTGCTCCAGCTTTTGCAGATGTGCTGGAGGACCAGCCAAGCTGGTCAAAGGTGGGCGTAAATCAGATATATTTTTCCATGGCCTTTTTATTTTACTTTCTACAGACGAACTTAACCTACTGCTCATCACTAAGTTCCTCACTCTCACAACTCAGAGTGTCTGAGTAGAAATTCTGTGGAAAAATGGATTTAAAAAAAAAAACAAACAAGCCCGATAGGGAGTCCTGCTGCAACCACAGGGACCCTTGTTTAGATGATCCCCAAAAGAAAGAAAAGCAACAGAAGAGAGAAAAGAGAGAGAAAATAACGTTCTGATTAAGAATTTGGGGTCTTGCATTTAGGAATTTGAAAATAAGAACATAACCAATCTGGAAGCGGTTTTTAACTGAAATATTAACACATTTTAGAAACGCACAGAGCAGCAATTTCATCTGACACTCTTTGAAATGGGGATTTTTAAATTATTCTACCACATATATCAGTATTCCAGTAGCCTGTAAATGCATTTTGCTAATATCTCATTTAAAATGTATTGTATTTTAAATAGCCCTGAGTGTGGTTCTTTTAGAGCTTCAGATCACCCAAATGCTTTAAAGCAACTGACTCCTCATCAGCCTAGAAAAACCTGCTGTCAAGGCAGAGCAGGAGAGCACCACGATGCCCTCACCACACACACTACGTGGGGAATATACACTGCTAGTACTTGCCTGCCTCACACTCGTAGAAAAATGTCTGCTATCAGGGCAAATTATTAGAAATGCATTTAGTTCAACAAAAATTCCATGGGAACTTGGTATGATAAGACCGCCCACAAAAAAGAACTTAATAAGGGAGAATGGAATTAAAGAATAGCTAATCCCATGTGATGTATTTATGGTCTGAACTTGACTGCATCTTAACATGGGTTTTGAATTCACTGTTATGCCATATTAGATATTCATTTGTCAGCGTTATGTTTTTTTTTTCCATTTTTCTTCCCTTCCTCTTGCAGGAGAACAGAAACCAATTACATTACAAACAGTCAGCCAAATTTTCTGTCACGCACCCAATTCCTTCAGCTTTAATTGGGTAGATATAATTACCAATTATAAAGGGACACAATCTTGTCTACCTCACACAAAGCTCAATTTCCATATTTAAGAGAACCCTCCCGATGTGGTGGTTTTTCACTCATGGTATGTTGATTCTCTGCATTTTGTTAAGTCCAGTACAAGCGAAATCCACAGTGCACCTCCATCAGGTGCGGCAGAAATGTCCTTACAGTCACGTAATGTCCCTGCAGCCACATAATGTCCCTACAGTCACCTAATGTCTGTACGGTCCCATAATGATGTCCCTACAGTCACATAACGATGTCCCTACAGTCACATAATGTCTGTACAGTCACATAATGATGTCCCTACAGTTATGCAATGTCTGTACAGTCACATAATGATGTCCCTACAGTCACACAACGTCTGCACAGTCACATAACGGTGTCCCTACAGTCACGCAATGTCTGTACAGTCACATAACGATGTCCCTACAGTCACGCAATGTCTGTACAGTCACATAACGGTGTCCCTACAGTCACGCAATGTCTGTACAGTCACATAACGGTGTCCCTACAGTCACACAATGTCTGTACAGTCACATAACGATGTCCCTACAGTCACGCAATGTCTGCCCAGTCAGCACAGCGAGTGAGAACAAACACCAGCAGCGCTCCCAGCAGTGTGGTTCCTCCAGGCCGAGGCAGCAGCTCATCCTCGCAGTGACTCAGAGGAAACACGGGCAGCAGAGGACAAACAGGACCTGAGGATACCAACGGCTTCTGGAGACCCTGCTCTGGCCCCCGGACAAAACACATGCTGGAGAGGATGGTGGTTCCCCTCCCTGACTACTTTGGCTCTTGGTACCGTTCCTGAAGTCAGGAACTTTCTGTCTTCTTCCGGGGTTCCAGCCCTCCTACCAGACCCAGAAACCCCTCCTCCGGCGGGGAGCAGCCCTCCCTCCTCGCTTCCTCCCCTTCAGGAGGGGCCTCGCAGAAGGACAGAGATCTGCCTGCACCCCTCTTCCTCCAAGCTGGGGGCAGGGCCCTAAGAACACCTCCCAGAAACACTCAGCGCCAAGCCAGACCTCTGACTGTTGGGGATCATCACCCTGTTGACATTTTTTTTTTTTTTAAAGATTTGTTTCACGCTTGCATCTTTTGGTTATATACACATTTACACACACTTCTATTTAGTGTATATCTAAGGTATGGACATAGAACTCTTTTTACACCATTAACAGGTCCCTTAAGATGTGCACAGACTTTTTTTTTTTTTTATAGTGCTTTCAATTTTTTGGCTTGCTAAGGGTTTTCCAGGACAGACTCAGAATGTTTGATGAGCACATACTGTGACAGCCACAGGACACACGCGATAACCCCTGCAGAAACCAAGAGTTTTCCGACTTCGCAGCCCGTGATTACATGTTGGCACATGATAGCGACTGAGATGTCCCTAACCCCTGGAAAAAAAAAATAAATCAAAGCACCAAAACAGCTTGTGGAAACAAGCAGGTTTGCAGCCAGAATGAGCTGAGGTCTAATAACAGTAAATTGCTCTGGAGATGAAACACAAAACTCATACAGATAATGATACGGTCTGGGGTTTACTTCTTGGTGATAGTGGAAATTTAAACTGATTCTGCTGCTACAGAATTTAAATTGGAAGGAAGCTTAAAGATGGAAGAATGGGAAGATTATGCCAGAGCACACAATAAACACTCACAATAGCTTACCATAGTCTATGGCTAGTCTCTATCTCAAACATTTTAATTAGTAACTTATAAATACTATGAAAAATAACTGATTTTCATATGTGAGACATTGTCTGTTCTGGATTTTGAACTGAAGCCGTATATCTTTGTATATACATTTGTAAAACATATATACCTTTGTAAAATGTATAATTTTAAGGTATCAGTAAAACTGTTTGGAGTAAAAAAACCCACCCAAAATAGTTTTCCATTTTATATACAAATCTGTAAAAGAAAAATAGCGATATAAAGTATATTAACTTAATTATTCCATTCATTTCAACCAAACCAAATAAAGAAAACCGCTGGTCCTGACTTACAGAAAGAAAAAGCTTAGCTCAAAACGCCTGCTTTAAGAGGTTGGCTGTGACCAAAGGACCACTTGAAACACAGGTGCAAGAGTCTTTCCTAGAGAGCCAGCACAGAAGGTACATACTCTCTTTTTCCTGAGCATGGCTTAAAGTTTTTGATTCTTGTGTTTGTTCAGGAGAAAAAAAGTAAGTTTTGTTTAACATTCCAAATTTCGTAAAAACTGAGTTGTCTCCAAGTTTAATTTTTCAAGTGAACAGGTAAATTTTAAATGATGAAAATAAGAACATGAGAAGTGCTGTGTAAGTTGAGGGTTGCTGTATTATTCAAAGGACCGAGATTTATTTAAGAGTTAGCGGCATGATGTAAACTGATACTTAAATAAAGAGAAGAAAAAGCCAAAGCAGAAGGTGACAGCACCTCACGTGCCCACGCTGACGGCCCTGGCCAGCCCAGGCAGCCCCAGGGGCCGGCAGCTCCGCCCCGAGCTGCGCAGGACACGGCCTCTGCAGAGGGACACCACCAAGAGCGGCATGGGGACCACCGAAACCACCATGTCCCACTCCATTTTTATGGTATCTGCTCCACTGGGCTCACTCATATGGAGGCCAGCATCACCTTTAGATAAAAACATCCCCAGCTTGAACACAACAACGTTAGCTTATTTCCACAAAATATTTATCCACAAGCTGCTGTAAGAACAAACAGGAATATTTTTTTTTCCTCATACAATTGTGTGATGTATGTGATTACGTCGTACATAATTTCCGTGCGTTACGTGTGCTACACCAAAAGATAAATGAAAATCAGCAATAAAAAGGGAGAGAAAGGTGTATGTTTAAAGAGAGTGTTTCTCCTGAGGACGGATGCTCGGCAGTGGCGAGGCAGGAGGACATGGTGAAGACACGTGGTGGCGGGGAGGCCTGTGCCCCAAGGGCTCTAGCTGCCCACCAGCGGCCCCGAGCACCTCCACTGTCCCCCCACTGACACCTTCCGAAGGGACCTTCGGGGGCGGTAACGACGATCCAGCCAAATTCATATACACATCATAATATGATCGGAAAATAATTTCTTACCTGGTGATATTATATAGAAGAAATCCTTAAACTCATCCATCCAGACCTCTGCCAGCCTCCTGTTGTTCTTGTTGATGACATGCCCCGTGCCACCAGGGAAGGTGTAAGGTGTTGCCTTTCGGAACACGTGGCCAACGTGCGAGCAGGTGACAATCTCGAGCGAGCCGCCGCACTGCCAAATCTGGAATTAAAATACACAGAAAACGTTGACTAAAACAAATACAAGACACACTGAGTTTATAGCAGGAGGGACTCTGAGAGACAGGTTAGCAGCTGCCGCCTCATTTATTTCCCCAGGTCAGAATTCAACAGGGTATTTTAAGCAAAAGTTTAAGGGCAACAGCAGGAGCACAACTCGTGATGGCAATGGAAGTGCACGGACTTGAAATGCAATGTGAAAGCTTGTGTGAATGGATCACCTGGTTCTGTGTCCTTACACACAAACCAGGGTCTTGAAAGTGTCACCCTAGAGTAGATTAAGTGTCGGGTAGGGATGTCATCTCTGCATTCAAAAATCAGATTTTTGAATACACAGATGAAAAAAAAAATATTTGAAAGTATTTAAAGAAACAGGGAAGAGCTTTTATTTTTTAATGTATATAAATATATATACATATGTATATTTTTTAAAGCACAGTCACGGTCATGGCACAACAGACCTGGGTTACTATCACAGACAGCAAGAGGAAGCAGCAAGCACAGGTACCCTGAACATCACAGAACCACAGAAGTGAAGCACAGATGCAAAACTTATGTTCTCTGGTTCATACGCTGGTGAGTACCATGATCAACAACAACAACAACAAAGAAGTTCTAGACAAAGAAGAGAATTTGATGAACTTCTGCTAGATGCAAACTGTCCCTTTCCACCACGGGAGCCAAATCTACACACTGTGAGCTCAGTGCCCTCAATATGACTGCACAAGTATTAAAAAAAAATAAATCATATAATCCTGGACTTTAATACCCCATTGTTAAGTGAAGTACCATATTTTCCTGCTGTCGGATCACTAGAGCCTTGGTACAATAAGCATCAGTTTGTGTATGAACCGCTGTCCTGTAATCTCCCATCTTTCTAGGCTCTGAAAAGACCTAGAGGAGAAACTTAAAGAAGGTTGAAGGTCTGAGCTTGTGGAACCGGAGGCAGAACAGAGGCACCACGTGAACACTGGGTGAACAAAGATTTCCATCGGATGCTTACAGGGTTACAAAGCTTTGCTGTTCTGCCAGACGACATCGACGCCTCGGGATTCATTAAGGTTCACTGACATTTCTGGCATCAGCAAAGGCACCACCAACTGCCCAGTTTCTTATTTAGGCTCATCTCACCCTTTAGTCTCCTCCTAAGCAGCCAGCAGGACTAAAATTCCCAATATCTCCCAGTATAAAACACAAGAAGAACCGTTGGGTGTTTTAAACAGGAACGCTAGTACAGTCTTGTAATTAGAGCTCCTCCACACAGGCTGAGTTACCATAGTAACTTAATGCAGATTTTATTTAATTAGGGCTAAACCCTTTTATATAATTTCATTAGTATGCTAAGTGATGTACTCTGCTGGGATAAGCAATGACAACATCAAAATATTCTTGTGTTTAACATCTTGTGTTTTGCAGCTCAATAACAACTAGTCAGCTCAGGTGAAACTTGGAGCTGACGGATGCCAAGGAACACGCGGCCGTACCGAGAAGGCAGCGTGCATTAAAACCAAAATATACAGGACTAAGGTGTTTACAAAGCACCTGGGAGTAACTCACTGGGCAGGGCAGTGAGGACCACATGTGGTCTGAGGTGAGCTTTAACCCACGGCCTCTGCCTAAGGACCAGCACCCCCCGGTTGCTCCTGCTCTCCCCGCTCCGACTCCTCTCCCTGGCAGGAAATTCCTCCCACACTACCATTTTTTTTTTTAAAAAAAAGTGTGTGCCTGTACGTTTCTTAAAGCACATTTTTGGCTGTCCCTGGCACAATCTGCTAGCTCTTACAGTTGTCATAGGAATGCGGATGAACCTGCACCCTGCTCGGAAGAAAAGGACTTTTATCTTTTCAGTATTATTAAAAAAAAAACCACCAAACCAAACCAACCAACCTTCCTGAATATTCCTTGGTAAAAAGCCTACTTTCCAAAAGTTCCTATAATGGTTAAAGACTGTGGGAGCCCAGAGAACTGGTCACAACACAGACAAGACACGCTGTGGCAACACCTTTGATGACTCTTCATTGCCACCTGGGTGACCCCAAAACCACCCCAGGCACCCAACACCCGCCAGCAGCTTTTACTGACACTGCTGACTGCTCCCAGAATTTAGGGGAGAAACAGCCATTACATTTTATTGCAACCTTTTTCATTTTAACGTTCTACTTTTTTAATCCATCAAAATTTCCAACCACAGAATTAACTTGATCCCGTACCTTGCAAAACAGACATTTCCAATAAACTCTACCTTTCCTCCAACACACCCAGATTTTTTTGCAGATGGCAAGCATTTCGCGATTATTGCGTTAGTGCAGTCCTTCCAGCCACCTTAGTTCTCTCTCCCCAGAAAAAGAAGAACAAGTGGAGCTGGGGTCTCACCCCAGCCTGCCCCATCAAGACTTAAACCTGCCCTTGGCAAAACTCCACAATCCCCGTTTGCTGCAGGGGAGGGAGAGCAGCTGGGTCAGCAAAATTCCCATTTACTGACCTCCCACCCCTCCTAACAGGCAAGAAGGGGCCTGGCGGTGACTGAATGCACCAAGGGACTAAAGACAGCCAGATTGCAAATAGCCTGGTACAAGACTGATGTATCTCATTTCAAAAAAATAAATTTAACTCTGATTTTCACACTGAATTATTCATAAACCAGTTATTGTCACATCGTAATTTTTAAGGTTGTAGGTGTCTTCCTTCCCTTCTCCTCTGAAGTTTAACCCTTCTCCTTCCACCTGAATGAATTTCCCCAGATCAGATATTTTTCCAATCACGGTACTTCAAGTCCCTCTCTGCATCTTCCAGCCCAGCACGTTCCATGAGTTTATTCCCCACCTTTGGTGAAAAAGTTATTTAGTGAAAAAATCCAACATCCAGCTGCAGCCTTACAGCTAAAAACTCTACCAGTGCCCTGGCCCCAGCCTGACAGCTCGGCCTTCAGCACTACCTGTTTCCCCCACACCAGTTCACACCGATCTCCCTCTTCTCCTGACTCCAATTTCCCGAGTGCCCCTTGCTGAGAGGTTTTGGTGAAGAACAGATCCAGCAGATCTGCCACATTTCCATGGTCTGGAAAATCCAAATCCAGCGTGTTATAATTTACCTTCTGTAAAGCCATGCGAGACTAACCCATTTTCTATTTATCTTTTGCTTACAAATATTAATTCATTCAGGACTTGTGGCAAGACACTGCACGCCACAGAATTAAACCTAAGGCCTGTATTTGCCCACATAATTTATCCCTTTTTAAACACAGGCATTAATTATTTAGAACTAGCCTTGATTTCACAGACATTTTACAACCATTCCTATTACTGTGTAAAATGAGAGATTAGACTCCATCTGATCTCCGTGCAGCCCACTGGCAGGATGTTCTCCCCTCCCATCATTTCTGAACACTGAGTCAATGTCAGTTCCTGCAAATCTCAGCGCACATCAGTGAGAAATACTTAAAGCTCATAATAATTTGTATGCAAATAAAAATAAACCAGCTTTGAGGCTTTACTCCAAATTTTAAAACAAGCAGGAAAAATACTCCCTTTACGACAAACTACAAGAAACTAACTCCAAATTAGATATGATGATCTTTAAAATTTAGAGTAAAACAGAACTAAAATCTCAGGTTACAGAGATATAAAAACACCACAAGCAAATCCTTTCCCTGTTAATAATTCTATTTACTTCATTTTAGAAAATTAATTTTTTCCATAAAGGGGTTCTCTTGGTACCTGCATGTGTGTGTTGATGCTGGTGTTAGATTAAACACCTCACGCATACGCACAGATCAAAGCTATGGTAAAAAAATCCCCAAAGATCACTGCAGTCAGAAAGTAAGTTAACACGTAAGCACAGTTATGTTAAATGAGGTAAACTTGTTCATTGCTATGCAGTAATGTGTAAGGAATAATTAGGAAAAAAAAAAAAACCTGAAAACTCTAATACCAAAGATCTTTAGAATGAAAACAACTGGACTGGTATATCTTGAAAATTTTCCTGACAGGAACATAAGAATCCTGACACACAGAAAAAATTAACGCAGTCTGAAGAAAGGGAAAAATATCGTATGCTTTAAATGTAAGCACACAAACATATTTTGAGAACAATCTGCAAGCAAACTGTGCTCCTAAAATTAGTTAATATAGTCAAACAGCTCAGGAATATTGGAACGCACAGGGATAGATTTTCAATCTGTTTGCCAGGTGCTGAGGGACTTACATACCCCAAATTCCACTCACCAACACACAAAATTAATGTCAATGTCACCGTGTCCTTCTGAAAACAATCTCGGTTGCAGGCACCCCCTCCACCCCTCTCTTGCACCCGTCATTCTGCAGCTGGAGGCTGAGACCTCACACACCGCCCGGCTGAAAAAGTGCTGCTGCTGATCCGTGGTGTGTACGCGGAGAAGCTCCATGGAGCCTGTCCCCCCTCACCAGTACCAACACCCAGCACAGGCCTGCTGGGGAGCGGCTGGGGGAACTGGGGGGGTTCAGTCTGGAGCAGAGGAGGCTGAGGGGAGACCTCCTGGCCCTCGGCAACTCCCTGCCAGGAGGGGGCAGAGAGGGGGGATGAGTCTCTGGAGCCAAGGCCCCAGCGCCAGGCCCCGAGGGAATGGCCTCAAGCTGCCCAGGGCAGGGTCAGGCTGGCTCTGAGGAAGGATTTCTGTGCAGAAGGGGCTGTTGGGCGTTGGAATGGGCTGCCCAGGGCAGGGGGGAGTCCCCGGGATCCCTGGAGGGGTTGAAGAGTCGGGCTGAGCCAGCGCTGAGGGGTCTGGGGGAGTTGGGAACGGTCAGGGGAGGGTCATGGTGGGGCTGGAGGAGCTTCAGGGGCTTTTCCAACCCGGATGATTCTGTGAGCAAGTGGCCGCCTTCGGGATGTGGCACCCGGGTGCTCTGGGGGCTGTGGTTTGCCCGTGCCCATTTCCTCACGCCATACAATGATTCTCATGTGCTGCAATAGGAGTATTTTTAAAGATCAGGTGCTGTGCTAAGTTACAAGGGAATCAAACATCCCTGCTCCTCAGTCATGTACTGGAAGAATTCCTACAACAGTCAAAACAGACATTTCAGAGACTAATAACAACGTATATAGCATTCCTTAGGAAATACAGATGGGAACGTTTGCGCTAACCTCTCCTGCACTTCTAACAGCTGCCAGAAAACCAACAGTAAACAGCATCATACTCCTGTTAGAGTATGCATCAGCTTTCTCTAGCCTTGCTTTGGCCTACTTGGATTATTTTAAAGAATAATCCTTTTTTCCTGATGGACAGATTATTTTTAATACCCTTTCCAAAGCTTATGAGCTCTTTTCTGACTGTCACATTTTCAGGGCATTCAACTCGGGAAATAACACTTACAGAGTCTAACAGAAAATTTAAAATGTTTACGGAATTCTATAAATAAAAATATGGTCAATGCTTAAGAATACATCAAGTTTTCATTTACTGGAGTAGACTCTTACAGATGTAAGAGGTTCCTGCCAGAATTTATTTTTTTTTCCTCCCTCCCAGCTGCCGTTATGAACAGACACCCTCCAAAAGGCGCCATCCCAGACCGCTCAGCAGCGAGCAGCAGCAGAGCCCAAAGCTGAAACACGCTGCCTGTGCCCAGAAGGACGGACACGGCAGAGCACACGTGGTGTGGGGCAGGAGCTGCCCCGGACGGACAGACGGACTTTGATCCATGCTGCGAGACCTGGCTGCGGCTCCCGAGGGTGCCTCCGAGACCAAAATCACCCCGAATTCTTTTAATTGTGACATCGAGGCTCACGCTACCGCCGGGTGCAGATGGGAGGGCTGCAGAGAGCAGCCAGGGAAGGCAAAGGCACTTATTAACATTTTTGGAGGATGCAGGGATTACCCAGACAGGGGCTTTGTGTTCCGAACACCAGACCAACACCACCTCTAACCCCGCTCCCATCCGATGACAGAAACATCCAATGTAATGAGAGCCCTATGGCTGACTCCCATTATGGTAATTTTCCAAACTCAGATTTAGTCTCAGTGTTTTCCTGACTGCAATGAGATATTTCGGAAACCTGCAGAATAATTGCAGGTTTGTAAGGCGGCTGCTGGAGGAACCTCCCCAGCCCCCTGGCACTCTTTGCTACCGATTTCCTGCAGATGTTTTACATCAGACAGGATTTTTAATGCAGAGGCCTTGGTATTTTATTGATCCAGTCGTGCTTGATGTACTTGACTATTTGGTTGGGTTTCTTTACAGACAAATGCTCTAAATACCGAGGAACAGCATCGCGTGGCTGCCGGGCATTTCCATGGAGATCTCCCGGCGCTGGAGGCACATCGTTTTATTTCTGTTCTTGACACTATGCCCTCGTATTAGGCTGACACACACTTTCCAGGCTGGTGATGTTTCTTGAAGTAGGAATATCTTCTGAAGACCTAAAATAATGTTCTCTACTAGGATGCCCAAAGAGTTCATCAGAAAATTCATGCGCTTCCTCTCCTCACTCCCCCCACCTCAGTCTTAACGAGTAAAATAAGAATAACAGCAGAGCTGCTTCCCTGCCTTTACCAGGAGGGTTTGCTGCGGAGAGCACAGCTATTGTTGGTCTACATCTCTCCATACATTTTGGACTGAGATTTTTAATTTAAAGCTGAAATGAGGCTCTCATGACAGTATTCTCACAGAATTTATATAAATTAAGCCCATTGCTGGCTTACTCACAGAAGCACTGAATGGAGTTCAAGAAAAAAAAAAAAAAAAAAAAAAGAAAAACAAACCCTCCAAGGAGTATTTTATATATATGTATTACGTAACTTATGGAAGTGCCCAGGAGGCAGAGCCGGAGAAACTGTGCAAAGGCAGAGGTACTGGCTCAACCTGCACCAACCCCAGACCACCCCGAGCAGGAGCTGGCTGACTCGCGCCACGAATCCCGACGGGTTTCCCATGCAGCTGCCAAGAGCCAGAGTGGAACAGCACGAGGTGAAGACAGAACACCACCATCAAACCGCTAAACTTCTCAGGAAAGGTTCTCAAAACGCATTAGCACTATTCGAGCAAGAGAAAGCATTCAGAATCTCCTAGTCAGGGCATTTCTTTAGCATACGCCGGAAGGTGAATACACGCTCACATGCTGCTCTCGGCAGAAGATCAAACGCTTCCTCTCAAAATTAATCTACTACCCCAGGGAGCGGGAAAAGGCTGTGGAATTGTAAATTATTTCATTCTTTCGCCCATACAAAGCCTGACAGAAAAATGATCAATATTTGTATCTTCGTTAACAAAAATAGCCGCTGCCAAAGGGAGCCCACGGAGAATCAGCTTCCACAGATTCTCCAATACAGACTCATAGCAAAAATCGCCTTGTACGTTCCTTTCCATTAGAGTTGTCTTATCAGGGATTATCATTTTTGTGACAAAAACCCAGTGTTCTTCCAAAAGGAGAGTTAAATATTTCAGACCTTCACTAACGAGAATGGGACCTTTCCACAGTAATGACCCAAAATCGCTCCCACAAAAGGTTTTCTGGAAGCGACAAAAAAACACCAGCAAGAGCAAACGGCTTCGAGGTTCCCTCTGTCGGGGTTTAATGCGCATCAGCAATTCTGATCTTAAAATTTCAATGACCCAGGCGAACTTCCCTTTGCAGAAACCACACACTGATACTCGGTGAAAAATGAACAGTACTAATACGCAGATTTAGTTTATGAGAGGCACATACTTAACGCTTTAAAGCAGTGCTAGTCACTCTCTGCTCCAGGGATCACTTCTAAAGATGTGAAAACAAGCCTGCTAACAGGCTTAAGTTAAAAATAAGCTCCTATATGGGGGCCTATATACGTCCATGGAAAATTCTTAGGGCTCTATACACCAGAAAATGTTGAAATCCACTCATTTAAAACATTAACGCGCAGAAGAAGTAACTCTACCCTTCTGCTTTACTGGAAAATGAACAATTATAGGTTATAGGAAACAGCCTGAAAATGCTTTCAAATTTGCTGTTGATCTTCTCTAGAAATACCTGCTTCACAAAAATCTTCGAAGTAGTTTTGTCAATGGAAAAAAAAAAAAAAAAAAAAAAAAAAAAAAAAAAACACTATCTAGCAGCCCTGGCTGAAGACAAAAGACAACAAAAAAAAAAAAGGAAAGAAGGATATTCCCCGTGATGTGCTCCGGGTACCAGATCAGCGTACCAGGGTTTACTTTGCATACTTATTTAATATGCATAAACTGTGACACATCAGAGACGTTCAAAGTAATTTTCAACATCCTTTCTAACAATTACTTATCAAAGAGTCAATTTTCCAATTTTCCTTTATGTCTAAAGGACGATTACTAAATGCGTTTCACTCAAAGAGATTTTATTCTTGTCGTGGGCCACATACGTATCCCCGGCAGAAATACCGTCACTTTTCTGCGGGATGTGAAATCTCTCTGTGAGCTTGTCTCTCAGGCAAAATTAAAAAATCCCTGCCAGAACTTGCAAGTCCATGACGACACAGACTTTCAAAAGCTTCTGTTAAAACACATATTTGAATTTTACTTTTAACACTATACAAATTTATATCTTGTTTACGTCAGTTAGCATTTGTACTAGCTCACAGAAAGCCTCGTTTCTTTTGCTAATACATATTATTTTGAAAGTGTGAAAAGTTCTAAACAGTAATAAAATGTTTCATGCAGCAAAAAGGACCAAAATACTATAATGAGGCATTCCCAAATATCTTGAGAATTTAAATTAACCCATGACTTGCATGACAGCTAAAGCAGAAGCGCCCTGCCCGCAGCATAGGAACCGTTACAGCACGACTGTGTGTGTTGACAGAAAATGAAGGAAAACAGCAATTACCCTAAAAGACATTTCAAGATTCTCGCCACCCCAGATATCCATTCCTGCATCGTAAGTTCCTATCTCTTCAAAGTAGTTTCTGTCAATAGAAAATAGGCCACCAGCCATAGTAGGGGTCCTAGTTGAAAACAAACAGAAAAAAAAAAAAAAAAAGAGGAAAAAGAAAAGAAAAAATACCTTTTGAAAGACACTGTGGAATTTAATAAGTGACACTACAGTACATTTCACTACCTCAGACATTTTGACTATAAATATATTCTATATACAGCAACTTAAACGTAAACTACTAACAGTGATAACAGGGTTTTGGCTGCATACTCTGCGCGCTTGCCTGTCGGGCAGAGCTCCCCCCGCCATCGACGAGAGCGCTGCCCGAGCGAGAGCTGCAGGATTGCTTCCTACCCGCAAAAATCACATTTCCATAGATTATTTCAGGAGCATTGTAATGGTAAAGTGGATGGAATTTTGGCCCTCTGCATCCAGCACAGCAGTTCAAATCCAATCTGAAATGCTTAGCGAAGAGAGTTTAATGCCTCAGCTTTGCCTTAGAGGAAGACTAAATGTGCATAAAATTACCAGGCATAATCTCTCTTAACAGGATTATAAATCCTTACAACAGGCAAATCCAGTCAGAGTGCAACTCTTCTTTGTGTAAAGATGTCCTACTTCCCCATAAATACCCGCTCTCTGTGTTTTCAGCATTCAGAAGTCTACCTGCGGTGACAAACTCCGGCCCGCAGGCAGCGGGACGCGGGTCTGAGCCCCCCCAGCCCGCGGCAGCTCCCTCGCAGGGCAGGCTCTGCACAGACCCCAGCGTTTCCCCAAGCACGGGGGGTTAAGCCCAAACTGGTCCCTGCAGACACGGGGGCAGGAGCTGCGCCCCAGCCCCACGCCGGCGCGATGCGGGGGGACGGCAGCCGCCCCTGGGACCCCGCGGAGGTCTTGGCACCCCCGCGGCGGCTGGCTTTGGTGGCAGGGGCCCGTGGGCACGTCAACGTGGCTGCGGATCAAGCCTTGGCGGGCAAGCATTGGTCGTGTTTCTCTCCTCAGCTTCCAGAAGAGCTGCAAAGGGGGTGAGACTGGCCGCTGAAAACCCGTAGCCTGGCGCTAGCTCGCCGCGTACAACCGCATACAACATCGCAGCGACCGCGGCCTGCCCGCAAAGTGTTTGTCCTAAAAATCAACTCCTCCTTTCGGTTGTTTTATTTAGTAAGCTGCTGGTGAAGACTGCCAGGAATGTCTGATACTCAGAGGTCAGATGAGGCACCAGGCTCCGTTCCCTGAACCTCCTGCGCAAGCGCAGCGTTTCCAGCAGCGGCACCGTCCAGAGCTCAGTTCCTGTGAGAGCTCCTGTGTTTGGAGACAGCCTGATGCGAACCCTGACGATATCACCCAAACTCCTAGGATTCTTCCAAAAAGCAAGTCAGCAGCAACAAAACACCTCATGGGCAATGTGGGAAGAAGCTGGAAGAGGGGCTTCACGGGTGCTCCCACCACGGCAGAGCCTGAATCCCTTGAGCATTCCTCAGACCGTCCCTCAGCAGCCATCGTGTGTCCCACAAGCAACGTGAATTAGGCCAAGCACACACACACCCCCCCAGAGTGCAGACACTGGGGGACCTTCAGGGATCACAGAACCATCAAATCCCAGCTGGGAAGGGACCTCAAGGATGAGCTGGTCCAACCCTGCTTGGTAAAAGCCCGGTCTAGCCAAGCTGGCCCAGCTCCCTCTCCAGCCAAATCTTAAAGGTGTCCAATACTGGGGAATCCATCACTTCCCTGGGGGGATTATTCCAGTGGCTGATTGTTCCCAGTGTGAAAAATGTTCTCTTGTGCCCAGTCGGAATCTTCCCAGGAGTAACTTGCACCCGCTATCCCTCATCTTCTCCATGGGACTCCTTGTACAAAGGGAGTCTCCATCTTCTCTGTAGCCACCCTTCAAATACTGGAACGTGGTGCTAAGGCCTCCCCTCAGCCTTCTCTCCTCAAGGCTGAGCTAACCCAGTTCTCTCAGCCTCTCCCAGACCCTTCACCACCTTTGTGCCCCTTCTCTGGGCCCTCTCCTGCCCAGCCACATCTTTTCTGTGTAGCAGGGACCAAATCTGAGCACAGTATTGCCGGGGGAGGCAGCCAAGTGATGGTGCTGCGCCGCACACAGCTCTTCCCAGGGGGGCACTGGCCACAGCCCTGACAGCAAGACATCCTCACTTCCTCTCAAATTCAACAAACCCAGGTAATTTGCCTGCTGTGCAATTATTCCCTCTTCTGCAAGAGCTGACTATCATTACTCCCAGAAAATAAACACATGGTTTAGCAGTGAAATAATACAGGACCCTGAGTTTACCCACACTTCATTTCTATTTTCCTCCCCGTGCTCTCAGCACTGAAAGCTCAGTTAATTAACTGCCATTTGGGCAGGGCTAGACCTTCCCAGGTTTCAAAGCTGCTTTACTGCCCTCAGCCTTGCTGGGTTTCTGCCACAAACACCAACCCTGGCCCCCCCGAGCTCCCCTGCGAGCGAGTGGAGCAGATGGGCATGGCCGGGCGGTGCGACCCTCCACCTGCCTGGTACCACAGAAGTTTAATACCAGCCAGTATGGGGAGCACAAACTAAAGCTGACTCTGAAATCTTTCCTAACTGTTTTTGTGCCAGATGATTACCAGTGCAAAAAATAATGATTTTTAAAATAAATTTCTATTATTGATTACCTAGAAGCTATACAAAACTATTTACACTGACACCAAAAGCTGCGTCGGGATTTGGGTTTTCAAACCTACCCTGACAACTGGCCAAGTTCCCACAGGACTCACAGTGAGTCACAAACATTTTACCGAGCCTGTGCCCAGCACTGCATGAAGAAACCTCAGCTCCCGTCTGCCTGGCTCTCCCCTCCTCGCCCACCTCACTGCAGTGACACTCCTCACTCGTTTCCCACTAATAAAATCACCCCCACTTCTCTGCCTGCAACAAAAGCCCGCAACCTCTGCCTCCTCTCCTTCTTCCTCCTTTTACTTCTTCCCTGGAAGAGAGTCTGCTTGAATGGTACAAAATTTCCCATCTTAGCAAAGATTCAGCCTTAAGCAATTGTTGGATGATGCAACTGAACTGTACGCACAGATCAGGATTCTTCTGACATGTCACCAGCGCCTGGTTATAAAAAACAAACAGTTTCCCTAAGAACTCACTAACTGAAATTGGAAGTACTGAGTTTCATGCTGTAAAATGTAAGTAACTGCACCGATATACCCTGCGGAGTCTCAGAGAACGGAAATGCAGCAGGCAGGACTATCCCCTGTTATGTAAATTTGATGTTACACAAACACCTCTGCAGAGCTCTCACTGTAAAAACAGCCCAAACAGTAACGCTAGAAAGAGTGAGGGTTCCTACTGTTGGGTTTTTTTTCTCAGCTTTGTGCCTATTAGCTATATTTTGCCTGCTTGGAGTCATGTTAACGACTACAGTAATATGTTATGATTAACTCTAATCATCATTCAAACCCACTTTTATTTTGCAGCTACCGTCTGCTTCTCATTTCTGCAGTCAGCAGCAGCGAGCAGGATTCCCACTCCTGTACCTGCACCTCTGAGCTCCCACAGAGGAGCTGCCCAACACGGAGGTACCGCAGCCCCCCCGGTTTGCCGCGTCTCCCCGACCCCTCGCACCCAGCCTGGTGAGGGGAAGTGAGGAGGGGCTAGCAGGGGGGCTCCGGCCAGAGCCCCCAGGCTGGCAGCTCCCCAAAAGCCCCGTCACATCACCCCGTCCTGCCTCCTCCAAGCTCCTCGACCCGTGCAAAGGGCTCCAACCACACAAGGGCAGCACTGCTACAGCTTGGAAGAAGATTTTAACACCCGTTTCCAATCCTGTTGTCTATCCATCACCCAGGCAGCATTAACTGTAGTCAACTCTAAGTTTAATCAGCCATAATAATAAGATGATAAATAAAATATGTTCCTAATATTTGATCTCGTATTTTTCCTCTCAGTAACTAATTTAAGTTTGAGAAGAGATTTTCCAGAAAAAATATATATATATATATTTTAGTATTCATAATACTAGCCTGGAGTGCCTTCAGCTTAAAAAAATTAAGGGCAAGTACGGAAATATCCACAGAAATGTGCTGCGGAGAGACTGTAACAGCCCAGCACAGACACACTTTATGTTTTTAATACCGTAGATGTAAGAAGATGAGATATTTGTAAACTGATCTTAGCACAGAGAAGTTTTCTGTTGCTGCAGGCAAAATCACAGAAGGAGAAATGAGTTCACTTGAAGACAAAGATGTCCTGCAAAGTACAAATATTGCGCAGGGATTTTTCAGTGGGAAAAGAATGAAAGGTTGAGCAAGGTGGCTGCCTTGAGCTAGCCCTACCCATGAACATTTACCACCAAACCAGGCTGCACCTGACAACTGCACTGCCCAGAAATCCCTGTTTTCATAATTCCCCGATTTACCCACCTCCACCAGCTCCCTGCAGGAAGCTTTAGCTCGAAGCTCCACCTCTGCACAGGGCAACCATCCAGGTCTTGCTCCCAGAGAGCCCTCTGGGAACAGAAATGGGCTTGGCACTCTGAAATACCACATTCTGACCAGGTCTAATAATTCACAAAGTTTACAAAGCCAGAGGTTACTCTGGTGACAGTGGAAGTTATAGTATTTTTTCTATATGGAAACATGGTAAAATTTGCTGTTCAAACTGAAGAAAACACCTATATCCCCCCTGACATGAGTCCTTGGGGGTCGCTGTACCCTCAAAGTAAGAGAAATGCCCCCAAAACACCACCAGGAAGCCCCTCCACGGCTCAGGTAACATTTGCACACAAAGCCACAGTTCATATTTGATTTCTGCAAATACACCTGAAAAAAATACATTTTGACTGACCCTAACGAACCTCAGAGAAAGAAATATTTGCCTTGAAGAGCTCTGTCTCCAGGAAGAATCTTTTCTTCAGGGATTTCTAAATGTCCCCTTCCTGTTCCCACTTTATAGTTTCAGTCCTAGCAAAGACACCCCATGAACTGAGAGCTCCCTGATGTTACTTTTGCTTCTGATCATTGTACATGTCAAAAAGTTGTAAAAAAAAAAAAAAAAAAAAAAAAAAAGAAACCCAAGAAATCCCAGTATGTGACAACCACTGACTTCTATCCTCTCTTTGCCCAGGCTGGGGAGTCGGGGGCATGACCTGCTGCCCCGGCCAGGTGCCCACTGTCACACTGCCCACCCTCATCTACCTCCTTTAAACTGGGACTGTTTGCAAACTGGAAAGGCTTTCGCTACCTGTGCAAAACTTGTGATTCTTTGGGGACGTGTTACCATTTTAGACTATTCTGGGAAAGGTTATGCTATCGTGGTAGCAGATGACCTGAGAGAAAACTAGGTAAGGGAAGAAGGAAATGAGAACAAGAGAAGGGATGTCAGGCTGGGGTTTAAGAACCAGAAGAAGAAAATAAAGGGCAAAAGGAGCAGGGCCTAGTGTGTGAAGAGCAGGAGCAGCACCCACGTGGGGGTCTGGGAGCAGAACCCCATCTGCCCAAGGCAAGGCAGCACTGATTAAGAGGAGAGTCCCCACCGTTCCGTTTGCCAAAAACAGGACAAACACATTAACTTTTCTAATGGATGTCGGCACGAAAACTCTTCTACTGCATGACAATTAGCTGTGGGTTTTTAATACCAGAGTCACTGAATTAATTAACCTTTTCCCATTAAATCTAGAGGTCCCAGCAAAGGCAGGTATTTCAGTTGACTCAAGCACCTAACTCAGGAATTTAACAATTCCTTTAACTCCCCAGGCAAACAAGCAAGCAGTGTTTCACATCTCTGAACTAGAAAGAACCAGGCACCCTCTTGTTCTGGCTTTCACTTCCTCGGGGTTAATGGTCACAGCGTAGGTGATGGCTGAGCTCTGGCCACGCTGACTAGCAGGCTTGTATCAGGACGCTGTCCTGATCTTTCCCGTAAAAATACTTTTACAATAATGCAATTTATACATCAAGTGCATATAAAGTAAGTCATAGTTGGAAAATGTCTGCATTCTGATTTTAAAATCTAAAAAGCAAAAAGGTAGGAATTTATCAATGTTATTGTGGAAGGTATTTTGAGGAAATCTTCTGTCAGTTAGACGGATTCTTAATGTAACAAAAGGCAGAATTTGATTGCAATGGTTATATTAAGCATACATGCAAAGAAACACACAAGCCAGTGATGTTTATATATTCTACACTTATTCCACTGATCACAAAAAAAAAAAAAAAAAAAAAAAAAAAAAAAAAGAATAAAGACATATTCAATCTGCAGGAGACTGAAATAATGTTACGGAATGCCAAAAGCAACGTGGAACAACAACAACAAAAAAAGAACTCGCCGATTTGTTTCTAAATTTTTGGTGTGGGTTAGGCGTTATTTTTATCCCCCCATTTTTTGAATATTCAGGTGGTATATATTCAGCAGCTGCCAAACCCATTCTTAATTTAGCTGAAATATTACACTCTTTCTCTTTGGATGCAGAATTTGTGGTTGTGTTTGAGGCCTCCAGACTGATTTACTGCCACTGTCTCTTGGCCTGCTTTTGATATGCGTCTGGAAGTACCAGCCAGCACCGAACGCAGGTGATGGCTTAGTAAATGTACCTGCCCACAGGAAGGCTGCCCTACACTGCTGGTTCCCCTCCCGTCAGGCAAAAGGGAAAACGAAACAGGGAGCTCCTTCTTCTGACACCAAGGAGACTGACCTGCCTGCGCTACGCGGGCAGAGAGGGCACCGCTACGTCTAAAAGCTGACACTTTGCTCTTAAGCCAGCGCAATCACAGCCCCTCAGAGCCACCTCTTCACTCTAAAGCACTTATGTAAGTGATGATTATGGGACAGGAGGCACTTGGTATGAACCTCAGACTCCCTCACCCATGCTCTGCTTGCTAACGCCCACCTTACCAGGAAAATCCTCAAAAGCCCAGGCACTCACAGGCTAGAAGATGGTGGGGGGAAAAGAAGAAGGAGGGGAAAGAAAAAAAAAAAAAAAGCAGCTATTTTTTTGTTTTAATAATTTTAAGAGTCAATTACATGTCTGATTCTGGATTAACTTGAAGTATTACTCCATTTCAAGATAAGGAAGTAAGAATTTGCATGTCTCTGAAAGCTCCCAGTGCCTGTGAATTGATTTGGCACTGGAGAAACAGGATGGACGGAGCCCGGTGAGGGACACGGTGGGTGCAGCAGCTGGCATGGAGTGAGGCGCTGCAGCTCCTTAGGATCATTTATCACACCCCTCAGCTCTAATGACATAGCTGCCAGCAGACTTCACAGCTGAGCGATAATATTTTAGAGCACAAGAAGAAACAGTTCTCTTGACTCAAAACCAGCTCCATCCCCCTCCTCCGCTAACTCAGGGTCCGGGCTCCTGCTGCGGGGACCCTGCGGGCTTTAAAAAAATCCAGCCCTGCCTTTCCCTGCCTCCAGGCTTTGAGGGAGATTAAAGGACAGATTTTGGCCGTTTTGCGGCAGGAGTTATTTCAAACGGCTTTTCTCTGCCCGTCCACTGCCTTACCTGGAAGTGTTTCGCAAAGCTGTGCTGTCCCCCGAGTTGGCTCTCCCTTTATCTGCCTGTTGCACAACCCGGGGTATGCAGGACTGGAATTCTGTCCACTTCATCATGGCTCTCAGGTTTGAAACCATTACATCCACTTGTGAAAGGTTTTTTTTTGTTTGTTTTTGTTTTTTAAAAACTTTTCATGAAGACCACAGAAGCTATTAGAGCTGAGCAAATAACCCATTGCAAGTAATTTATTCAATTTGTTCTGTTTCAGCTTCATTTAAAATTTTTCTAGAGGTTTTGTTACAGGCTGTGGCTTGAGCAATTAACTGCAAGAGGTCAGGAATGATCACGGGAATACAGGACACACTCTTAGATCATTTTTAACTCGGTGTGCAGAGTCATCAATTTTATTTTCTAGGCAATAAAAGCATGCATTTTAAGTGCAAATTATCACAGCTGAATACTTGGGTCCAATGCTTAAAAATGTGTATTTCAGGAAGATGTTCGAAGTATTTGCCTTAAATTATGAAAAAGGGGCAACATCTGTTAAACACAAGGTCAAGAGGCTATTTGCAGAAAACAAATATAGAGGGAACTTAAAAAGCAGGTAATATTTTGAATTGCTGAATGCTGAAAAGAGATATAAATGAGTTTTCTCAGCTCTGATAACTACGTTGCAGCATTAAGGATAGGTCAGATTTTGGTCTTCTCTGCCCTGAACAGTGTGCCACAACTATCTGCCGTGTGTTCTCTGAGAGTGCAGCAAAACCTTAGGTATTAAGCGTTATTATCCACAAAAGCACGTGGACAGCAGAGTGGGAGAGCTCTCCTGATTCACCCTCCTTACCTGACAGGCAAGGTCCTGTCTCCTTTCCTCCTGTCCATCTCCCTCTGGGGAACTGGATACCAGCGGAAGTTGAGTTTCCAGTTAAACCCCCCGTAAGTCATATCAGAGCCAGCCATGTATTCAAACGTGTCATCGCTGATCACATCAATGATGGGGCAGACAACAGTTTTCCTGGAAGAAAAAAAAAAACGGGCTTTTTTTAAACAAAGTATTTCTAGTATGCTGAATACTGCACTTGTTTTGAGGCTTCTCTGCATAAAATCCCAGTGACCGTGGCTCATGCTCCCTCTGACCAAGGTCTGCCCTCTTCCAGAACCAAGGCTGAGCAAAATTCCCTGTTTTGGTGGGTTTTGGGGCATGCTGGCTCCTCGCTGCGCTGCTGGGAGGTGTGGGGGTGCCCAGAGAAGGGCCTGGGTGCTGCTCCGGGGGTGGGCAGGGCTGCAGGGCTGGGCACGGCCAGGGGGACTGCATCACCTGCTGCAGAAAAA